TATATGTAGCCTAGATAGTCGTCAATTATATCTATACAACAATGTGATCTGAATTATTTGGTACAATATTAATACAAAAAGACAACCACTTCCATCAAACTTGCACTATGACACTTCTATACAAGGGAATATTTCAGGGCTATTATTGTTTTTTTTTTAATTTCATATGAATTGCTATGGAATTTTTATCAAAAGCAATAAAATCAAATAAAATATTTCAAAATATGACATTGATAAAGTTCCATTATCATATTAAGAGAGTATTAATATATACTGTATAATTCTGAATATAATGCGCAGGCATGTATAATGCGCACCCCTTCCTAGACACCAAAAGTTATTAATACATTAGTCACTTTAAGGTAGTAAAAGTCAGAAGTATTTCAAATCTAAATTAAAAAGCAGTAAAGATTGAGGGACAGAATTAGGCCTACTATTTGAATTAAGGTTTAAACAGAACTGACAGCAAGCATACATCCCGAATTTGTTTGGCCAAGGTAGACGATCCAGCCTCAACCAGTGGTTCCAATGTATCTACATATACAGAGAAAAAGTTTGGCTTTATTATTGTAAGAAAAGATGACTATATCATATCATATGATTAGGTAAATTAGTAATATTTTCAGACTTACTCTTATTTGACCTCAGTTTGCATTTATATTCATTACTTCTTATAGTTATCATATAGATAAAGAAATCACACAAATATTGTTTTTACAATGTCTTAAGCAAGAAAAAATGTTACTTTTTGTGAAAAGCAAATTTCACACTTTATTCGCCATAAGATTGTTTGTAATGTAAATTCTTTTATTTGATGTTTTCATGGATAAGTGTTTCAAGATTTTAAGAAAAATCTGTTTACACATTGAAATTTTTGACAGAAATATAGTAAAGAATCTACTAGAATCTAATAGACAACTAAAGAAGAACAGTGTAGTATAATAATAACCTTTTTTCTTTGTATTGTCTCCTGAAAAATTGTTGAAAAAAAACAATCAAAAACATTCTTTTTTATCATTATTTTTCTAAATCCAAATTTGTTACTTATTATTGTGGAGTCTTAACTGATTAAAGGACTGACATATGCAAAAGATATTTGAGTTTTGAGATGAGTGAAATCTCCCCAAAAATTCATAAAAAATGGACATACCTCCTACTCGAGCCAGATTTTTAGCCATGACGAACGATTTCCTTAATTTCTTCCTTAAAATAGAAAAAAAAATGTTGCAGAAATTGTTATTTGGTTTGGTGATTTATTGGATAATGCTTAAGTTAAAGATCAATACTTCAGTTGTATTGACAACAATAGAAACTTTAAGAATAGAAAATTCAAATAAAAAAATACCTTTTTTTTTATTTTCATTAATTACAGGGACAGAGGCGCCACTTTATGGGGTTGATTTGAGTCTTTTATAGGTGTAAATAAACTTCAGTACTAGAACTGTACAGAAAAGGATGGATATGGATTTTAAGGCTCAAATTACGACTGTGAGCTGAGAAAGCGATTACCAAATGGCTTGTTTCTGAGACTAAAGTAGACCCATCAGATAAAATGGTGCACCTGTCCATTTAAAGACTTTAAAGCATATTGGTACCCAACTCACCATAAAAAGATAACCCTACCCACTACCATAATCCTTGTACATGTATTGGAATTCAAATCAAAAAGAAAATTGTTTTGAAAATGCAGAATTTTGTTCTAAATGGATTCACACCTGAAGTTAAGTAGTGATATTTAAAAAAAATCACTAAACTACAAAAAAGACCAAAACCTCTAAAGACTATCCACTACTATTTCACACAAGAATAAAAAATATAAAATAGAATAAATATATGAAAGTTGTGCTATTCTACATGTGATACCTAAGTGAGACCGGTTCTTCTTCTATAATTTCTTCCCTGTAAAAACATTGTATTTATGGCACTTATTTTACTGTAGACATATGATTCAAGTAGCTATGGACAACTTCAAATCAAAAGGATATAGCCGTCTAAATATTTGCTTTACCACCTAATAGAGTCTGATTATAGCTATCTGTATCACTTTTCAGAATTATAATCTGACATACAGTTCTCAAACAATTGAATAAAATCTTGCTGTGAGTATTTAGACTGACAGAGTCATAACTAACTTTTCACATACAGATAGATAAGTGAAACATGATATCATCAGTCATAACTGAACTTGAGAATGTTAATGATCCCCAATAAGTGCTGACAGTCTAAAATTCTGTTTTATTGATTTGCAGGAGAACTGAATGTCAAAATCTTAATTCAGAAAAGGATTACACACAGCTGAAACTGAAATTTCTTCATATTTTAACAACTATATCTCTTTAACATAAACATTAATTATTTTTCTCAATGATCACAGACGAAGACCAGCTGTCAAAGTAGTCACATTAAGTTACACCTATACATACAAGTCGGACTAGTACATACAAGATATGCTCAATATAATCATTCTACTTACTCTGATGATGTGCTACTCAATGTTCTATCCCTTTCTAACATTCTACGGAATCGTCTTTCAGTTGTACTAGGTCCTTCACGTTTTGGTTTAGGTTTCTCACGATAAAGAACTAACTTAGTCTCATCTATTAAATTTCTCTGGTCCACAATACGAGAAGCAGGTCTTCGGATGTCTGCACCAGGTAAAGAGAAAGCATTGGAGTATCTTGGAAATTCCTTATCTTTGCTCTAGAAAATATATCATGTTTCATTTGTAATACTGGGTAAATAATACATACCGGGTAAATAATACAGACAGGTCCTGTTTAAATAATACATACCATGTAAATAATACATACTGGGTAAATAATACATACCATGTAAATAATACATACCAGTACTGGGTAAATATTACATACTGTTATACTATTATACTTAACAGGTATGTGTATAACACCAGCAAAAGAGTGTATTTCAACTAAAACTAGAGCTCTTTTTTTTTGGCTTGTTTGGGGAACATCTTTGTAGACTGGCTTGGCTCTTCAAAAGCTGTGGATATTTTAGGGAGATAAGCATTTACTGACAGGAGCTAAATTTAGGAGCAGAAACCATTACATTTTTCCAATAGTTTGTTTGGACCAACTTTAATACTATATACTAGTATCAGTATTTGATCAGTATATAGTTAACAATTAATTTACACTTAGAAAAATAAGACTTTTGAGCAGGGATTGCAATCAGTTGTATTATGCCATGCACTGTCCAATGGTGAACATTCTGCCATTAATCTATTTTCTACAGCCGTCTGCTTCTTTTTATTGCTTTTTAAGTCTCACAGCTTAAATGATGGGGCAAATGGGTAATAAACAATTTCTATATTATATGCCATGATCTCAAAAGCTCTGTATTGTGGAGGAAGTGCCTAACTCATGTTGCTATGGCAACTCATACCTAAAATCAAAATAACTCACAGTCCTGGTTATAGGTAATACTTCTGGTGGTGGTATTGGTTTAGGATAGTATACCATCTTAGTTGCTCCTGCTTTCCCACCTCGTTTAGTTGGTACAACAGCTGGTAAAGCGAATGTATCTTGTGTTTTCTTACCAGATCCTTGACTCATCAGTTTATTGGTTGTGACTGTAGTATCACCATTTTGAGCTGTAAGTGATAATTATAACTTATTTGAATATATAAAATATATTAGCAAAAGTTGTCTATTTTATGATTAAATCTTTACATGCTGGAACACTAAGATCAACAATGACCACCAGACATATCCAATTTGAGTATTCATAGCAATTAATGGAAAAGCAACTCTTGAGCTTTCACATGAAACAATTGTTATGAGGTTTTATTTTCCTCTTCACAATAAAGCAAATTATATATCGTCAGACGTGAAAAAAATTTTGATTTGACTTGCAACACTCGAAATGGACAATTTTTTGCACAATTTTCATTTTTAGAACTTTGAGAGGATATTTGTTTTTTGTTTCATCTGATCAAAGAAAATTTGCTACCATATACCTTGTTTATTAGATGGTAAAACTGACAGCATAGCAGCATCATAAACTTTAGAATACATTTTCTTTAACTTGACAGCTAATTTATCTAAAGCTATCCTCTAGATAAACAATAACACAAAATATAATTAAGAAAGCAGAATTTAAATATTATCTTGGAGGACTTCAACTAATAGGCCTGCTTTATATTTGCCACAATTCAGTCTCCAAAATTTCTTCTAATATTAGAAATAGGTAATTTGATATCATTTAAACAAGTAAAAATCTATATGAAAGCCTATATTCAAAGCTTAAAATCAAAGGTAAAGTTAAAATATAACAGAAAGCTTACATGGATATCTTTAATATCACTTCCTCTTCTTCTCATTCTCCAAGGAAGATCATCATAATCACTATCCTCTATAATACATAAAATATTAAATCACTATCCTCTATAATACATAATACATAATATAATATTCAATGACTATCCTCTATAATACATAATATATTAAATCACTATCCTCTATAATACATAATATAATATTCAATCACTATCCTCTATAATACATAATATATTAAATCACTATCCTCTATAATACATAATATAATATTCAATCACTATCCTCTATTATACATAATATAATATTCAATCAGTATCCTCTATAATACATAATATATTAAATCACTATCCTCTATTATACATAATATAATATTCAATCACAATCTTCTATAATACATAATATAATATTCAATCACTATCCTCTATAATACATAATATAATATTCAATCACTATCCTCTATAATACATAATATAATATTCAATCACTATCCTCTATAATACATAATATAATATTCAATCACTATCCTCTATAATACATAATATAATATTCAATCACTATCCTCTATAATACATAATAATATATTCAATAACTATCCTCTATAATACATAATATAATATTCAATCACTATCCTCTATAATACATAATATAATATTCAATCACAATCCTCTATCATACATAATGATATCCTCTACATCATAATATATCAAATCATCATCAAAACAACATTTGGAAAACCAAAATAACTCACCTCTTTCAATAAAACAACCAGGTATAGCCATACCAAGATTATGATAAGATAGGGGGTCATTATCAATTAATTCATTGAAATAGTCTCCTAGATCAAGTCTATGATGTTCTGACTTCCAGTAATCTCTTGCAGCATCTTCTTCTACTGTACAAACAAACCCTGAAATAATACAAACTGTCTTCATAATCAAAACTAGTTGTGTACCAGGGCTGCTGATATTTTTGCCAATATCACATGTTTTAATGACCTGTCATAATCTGATCCCCAGGAGAAGCGCACTATTCATTTATTGACAAAACAGAAGTCAACATGTCTATCATTTTACTTTTGAAGAATGCTGAGAATTAGAATACACCATACCTCCAAACAAACAAATAAACATTTGCAAATCAAATGGACTAATGTTTTTAATGTTTGTTTTCCAAAAACTAAACGCTCTAGTCAGTCTTGCTTCACCTGTCAAATAGCATCCTCACTTTGATAGAGTATCCATTTTTGATCAAAAGAACTCTGAATGCTCATAATCTGCTTCTAGATATATCTAAATGGCCCAAAGAGGAATTAAACTTTAAATTTGTCAATTGCTAACTGCAGTCATGAAAATTTATAACACCAATCTTTTGATCTGATTTTTTTAAAATAATGATTTGAAAATAAGACAAAATACAAAAACAGTACCTTTTCTGTTTGGTTTGGTATTAAGAGAATCAAAAGCTGATACTTCTGTTAAGAATGTAGGAGAAGCTGCTCTCTTGTTATCATCATTAGATTGGTCTCTGTTAATACTTGTTGATTGTTTTACTAAAGAAAACTCTGTATTATCTGCCTCAATCATATCTGTAGTTTTCTTTTCTGAAGGCTAAAAGAACCAATAAATTACAATTACAGAAATAGCAACATGAAATGGGGATTGTCATACCATATGCCCTGCTGGAAATTTTGTCAGGGCAAAGGAAAAGACTAATTCCATGTCAGACACTCTTATATACATTACCATCTGGATAATCTGTTAAGATATTAAAGCTATATGTGTCGTTTTAAGTCCAGTGGCAGAGCCAGGTTTATGTCAGAGGGGGGGTGAAATACCTGAGGTTTCCCAAATTTCTAACAAAGTAATGATATTTTGCCCATGCCTTTGGGGCTGCGGATGGGGGCGGGGAAGCCCTCTGACCCCCCTTGGCTCTGCCACTGGTTAAGTCACAAAAGTAGATGAGTTTTGAGCTCTGCATGCAAGGGTTGGATGACCTTGAATAAGTCATCTCTCAAAATTATTCAGCTCATAATGGGTGCAGAATTCTCACAAAGAGAAAACTGATATTATTTCTATGGCATTTAGAAATTAGAAAAAATTTCTTTCCATTCATACCAAACAAAAAGAATTGTTGTTATAAATACCTCTCTTTCCCTATCTTTCTCAGAATGATCTACTTCTTTATCTTGTTCCTCAGAATGATCACTTTTATTATCTTCTTCCTCAGAATGATCCATTTCTTTATCTTCTTCCTCAGAATGATCAATTTCTGTATCTTGTTCCTTAGAATGACCATGCATATCATCTTGTTCTTCAGTTTCCTCTGTAGTTACTCTAGCAATAACAGAATCGGTGCCAATTGCATCTGCAGTACCATGTTTAGGGTCTGATTCACTAGGATAAGTAATTTGGTCAACTTCAGGTAGTTGATTAGTATCTGAAAGTTTCTCATTATTCTCTAAGGTTTTTTCACTTTCCACACTATTGATTGTTACTTCTTTTTTAGGTGTTTTACTCTGAAAAATTAATGATTATGCTTTGATAAACTGTAGCTGTAAATGATTTTGACACATCTAATTATAATGAGATAGTCCAAAAAATCATGAAGTTATTTGTGCTTAAAGCAAATGAAAATCAAGGAGGAAATTTCATCACAGTAAAGTAAATTGACATGTTTTGTGATCAAAGTTAAAGTTACTAAAAATGTCAATTTTAAGAAGGTGCTAGGAAAAATAAAATCTGTGGAAGTCATGTCAAATACGTTTATAGGACATCATCAGATTGACATTAATGAGGTAAGATTCTTATCCCTTTCTTTACTACAGCTGTCACTAAACCTAAAGGGGATGCTCCCAATTTTAATTACGAAGTTTATTGTAAATCTATGTCAAAATTCTTAAAACTCCTAAATTTAAATAACTGAATTTCGATAAATATAAGCTTTACACACAAAAGTTGAAAGTTTACCGTAATTCTTTTTCGTCCACAAAGTTCACCCATCTTGTCTTCTAACCATATAACACGTTTTCTAGCTGCATTTATATCACCATGATTCTCATATAGAGCTGTATCTAAATCTGCTCTAGCATAAACTAGCTCTACATTAATCTTTTCCATTACCTACAGTTAACAAAGCTTTATTTAAGGGGGCATAGTCATTTAAATATTTGTTTTCCAAGTTGATAGGCCTCCAATTCAAATGTCTTTAATAATTTTGAGAAATTGTTAACCATATCCCTTTAGAATGCTTTGACTTATTGAATTAGTGTAGGATAAAAATTATAGGTGAACAAATCTATTTCAACTCTTCATGACTGCTTTATGAATCATTCCTTCCCTGATTGATACATAAATTACAAGACATGTTGTTTTTTAAATGCTCAAGGTAAGTGAAAGTTAATCACTTTCTTTTTGTTGTGTTTTATTGAAGTAGCTCTCTTTATGCATTCAAAACGCTTCTTCTAAAATTTCTTTGTATCAAAATGTTTTACCTGCAGAATCAGAATTTGTTTTTCTAAATTCTTTTCTATTTCTTCAATTCTATTTTTCTTTTCTTGAACATCTTCAGATTTTATATGTTTCAACCCTTTTACAGCCATTTTCAAAAAATCTTGACAGTGTTCAATATTTTTTACCTATTATAAAAAAACAGCAATTAAGCATTAAAACATGAATGAGTTATAAAGGCAGGGTCTAAGTACTCCTTTGCATAACAGTTTTTTGAATTTATGTTTGATATAAATGAAATCGAATTTACATACTGGTACTTCTTTTCTAAGGAATAGCTGATAGAGATAATGAAGATCTACAGTGTGCAATGAGGGAAATTTACCAGGACTATTTGATTACCCCACTCATTTTTTTTTTCATTTCCATCCATTAAGTTATATTTAACCTGAACAGTTTTGTAGCACACTATAAGTTTAATCCAAGTCAGCATTTACAACCTTCATCACAGACTTAAGTGGTTAAATAACACAAAGGTAGGCTACAATCAGCACTGTTTGAAACCAAGGCAGATCCGAGGGCTAGCTAGTGACAAGGGTCACACTCACTGAGCCATGCTGGATTTAGTACAGAAAAAGTTTTTCACCTGCTCTTTCATTAAGATGTCTGATCTATGTTGTATTTGACATTTTACTTTCAGTGGTTGGTTTGGTTGCCATATTGATGATTTAGACCTGTTCAATACTTCAACTTTCGCCATGATTGAAGAGCTATCTAAGGATTGTTAGATTATTGAGAGAAATCTCATTTAAAGTGCACTGGCTTTTAATACAGAACACCTGTAATCATAGGATATCTGAAATTACAGTAAAAGTAATCATAAGCTCAAATTCAGCAACTCTTTTCAATAGTGGTGGGCGCAGTTTAAGCATTTCAATTTTACCAACCATGACCCCAAGGGCAAGGACGTAAGGACCCTTGCTACGGTACCCTAATGCCTACTACACCATTCAGGTTTCTATTTAGAAAAAAACTGTTCTTAATGATTGAATTTATCTCAATACCAGGAAGAATACCTTTCATTAGTGGTCTAAGGGAGACAACTGTTCCTTGATGACAACATGTAAACAAATCATGGTTACCGTGAAAACTCCATCTTTTTAGACTTAGATCCAGTCCAAAATTGTCCGGTATATCAATTTCAATTTTCCTGATTTTAATTGTGTGATCATACACCTCAAATACCTTGACACCGTTGGACTTCAAGAAAATGGGTAGATAAAGATGACATTGGCAGCTCCTGTTTACAAACAGGTACCTGAACAAATTTCGTTTTTGTTTAAATGACAAACGAAAGAAAGTTTTTCGACCCATGTTTAGAAATTTGACGACAGGCCTACCTCTTTGTGACATTAATGATTATCATAAAATAATTGCACTATTTTCTTACCTGTTATATTAATCATAATAATTATACTAATCTTAATTCAAATCTTCGTTTCAAATAAAAATTTAAAAGTTTTGGATATACTAAACACCAAGATTAATCCGCTTGTATCACAATACACTCATTAAAGTTATAGATCTGTGATACTGATAGTTATATGTTTAGATGGTAAAGTGGACATAAAAAAACATAGCGCATTTTGTTTTCATTTCAAGTGATTTCCAAGTTCTTTGTATTTATTCGCGTTGGCTGTTTGCATAGTTTTTAAGTCATTTTTTGTAGGCTATATTATATTTCATATCAAAACTGTGCTCATTTTGGTGTTTAGTCAACTTAATATAGGTCCCCCTCATACGATGAACATTAGTCAATCAGTTAGACAAAACGTATAGACCAGTGGTACCACTAACTTTTATGAGCCAGTATTATAGATTATGAAAAAGAGACCAAAAACGAATAATTTACCTACAGCATTTAGTACGTGTAGTACTTTAAAAACGGCTACGGTTTCAAGTGATTACTTTGAATTAATATTTCTGGCTCAATAAAAGCATTTTATATTTTATTTTGAAATTATAAGATTTTTTTCCATGAAAGACAATTATTCTTTTCTTATTTTATTCCAGAAATGTTATACTTATTCCCATAAATTAGTGTAGCCGGTTCGCTTTTTGTGTTTTGAATGTGTCATATCCAACTTCCTATGAGACATAAACAATCGGAAGCCATTTTTGACAGTAACTGATAAGAATATTTCTACACAACAAATCCACAATCATCTGGCGTAGTATTGAAGGACCTATCAAAAGGATTAATTTGTTGTTTATCGGAAGGATTTTTCTTTCGATTTCCGCAATAATTAGAGAAATACGCAAAGATGAGCTTCCTTTTGTAAGTAATTTTTGATGAAGTAGATTAGATAGCTGGTTTCGAAACCTCCATATAGCATAGCCTCTTAGTTCTAAGTTTTATTTTATTATGAAAACCCTAGTCAGGTGATAAACTGACCTGGCATCTTATAAGTCCTAACCTACTACAAAGTAGTTAGTGTTCTACCAAGGTGGTTTCACGAAATAATTGCATTTTGTATGTCAAATTTCACTTTTCAAATATGTGTATGTCAAATTTGACTTTTCAAATTTTTGTATGTCAAATGTCATTTTCAAATTTCTATGTGAATTTTTCCACTATTCAATTGTAGCGTTGTACTTGTAGGCCTCTTTACAGTACTGTATGTAAATCTGCAGTTTTTTACCCTGACAATAGCCCCTCAGGACAAAAACCCCTACTGAAATGAAATGAATAAGGAAGGACATAAGCCTGTATTCAGAAATAAAAAAATGGAAATGAATGTATATTCGATTTGAATAACTACATAGAAGCTTATTTTCCCATTTCATCATATCATATTTTTAAAATTACATTAACTTTACTAAACTAAACTATAGAACTTTGAAATGAATAGTCCTTGCTTGCTCCTATTCTTTCTATGTATGGGTTATAATTCTCATTTCACCTTAACATCAAGTTGAGTTGTTACCTAAATTCAGCTGTATAGATTATTTTGGATGTAAGCTTATACCAGTATTTTTTCAAGCTTTACAGTGATTCTGATACCCTGTTGTTAACCTTTGTGTAAGAAAACCAAATTGGTTTTGGCATGATATTTTTTTTTTCTATGTTGTAGTGGAAGTAGAAATAACAAGACCTTCAAGCCAAAAAAGAATATACCTGAAGGAACACATCAGTATGACTTGATGAAACATGCTGCTGTGACTTTAGGAAGTGGTAATTTAAGACTAGCTGTCATGCTTCCAGAGGGAGAAGATCTGAATGAATGGGTTGCTGTTAACAGTAAGTAATCAATGGATACAAACCTTTTTATATTCCATTTATTTGATATTTGTACCTATAACATACCTATCTTCAGTGAGGTATTTGATTTTGAAAATAATACTCTGCTGCAAGTAAAGGCAAAAGTTGTCTTTGCTGAATGAAGAAAAAAAGCCCTTCTCCGAACTTCTTGGTGTTATTGAAAAAATATAAATCAAGAATTTAGTTAAACTTTGGCTAAGCTAGGCTGGATGTAGTGTAGATTGAAGGTGGTTTTGTTGCTTGTCAAATGATTGTTTCTTTCAATTTGATAGTTGGTTATCTTGAACAACTAGCAAGCTGAAATCATCAACCATATTTGACTAGGATAACAACTTAAATTCTTTTTATCTTTTTTCACTGTTAACAATTTATGTTTGTTTATTTCAGCTGTTGATTTTTTCAATCAGATTAATATGTTGTATGGAACAATCACAGAATTTTGTTCTGAAGAAACATGTCCTGTGATGTCTGCGGGTCCAAAATATGAATATCATTGGGCTGATGGTACCACAATAAAAAAGCCTATTAAATGCTCAGCACCAAAATATATTGATTATTTAATGACTTGGGTGCAAGATCAACTTGATGATGAGACCATCTTCCCATCTAAAATTGGTAGGTTTACATGATGTAGAAAAATACTTAAGAAAATTGTCATTATAGTGCTGGTGATATGCAAAAATTTACATGTTAAAATTAACAATTTGAATGCAAAAACTTACAAAAATTGGCCAATGAAATTTATTTTTTGACTTGAAATTTGTCTATAATGTCCTGTTTCTTACTTAATTGTGTTAAAATTAATACATATACTAAGGTTTTTTATGAGATGAAAAATTTCTATTGAAATACAATTTTGAGACTACATGTACCACATATATATATTATTTTACATTGTACTGCAATGTTCTTTATATATTACAGGTGTTCCCTTTCCAAAGAATTTCCTCACCATTGCAAAGACCATATTAAAGCGCCTTTTTCGAGTTTATGCACATATCTACCATCAGCATTTCAAAGAAGTGGTTCAACTCAGTGAAGAAGCTCATTTAAATACTTCTTTTAAACATTTCATATTTTTCGTACAAGAATTTAGTTTGATAGACCGTAAAGAGCTAGCGCCATTACAGGAATTAATTGATAAACTGAGCTGTAAGGATAGATAAAGCCTTAATCTAGTCAACCGTCCTTTCTCCTTGTCTCAGAGATCATTTCTACCTGCATACTTAGCTTGTTTCTGATTAATGTCTGAAGTGACATTTATCCCACCAATATATGTGATATGTAGGAAACAAAATGGCAATTGAAGAAGATAGTGTTTCTTTTTAATTGAGCTTTTAGTTATAATTTCCATGTGAAGTGTTTTTAAGTTTTAAAAGGATATGGTCATTTGAATTACAAGTTGAAAGTGCTCAAACTCAGCTATCAATATCACTTTTCAGAATTAGAATACTATTTTTAGTTCGTCTACATTTCAACAAAAAGTACCACTCCAATTTTAGACTTAACCTTGCAGACTGATTTTACGTTGCTGGTAATGCCTCTGTGGTAAATGTATTTAATTGCTCTAGCATTATCTACTACATTTTCCTCATATTGTAAGAGCCAGAAACGTAATTTTTATTATTAAAAGTGATATAAATGACTGATATTGAGTAGCTGGTAAAGTAACTATGTGAAAAATTGGGTTTTTAACGTCAATATCTATCTTTGGCTATAATTTGATTTTATTTCCATGTCTTATGCTACTTGTCACTATTTTAAAGATATATTTTAGTTTGCTATGTACAATTAATGCTAGCTTGTAAAAGCTTAAGGTTATTGCATGTTTTTGTTGATATTTATTTACCTTGTAAACAAAGGTGTTCAAATAGTCAGAATGTCGTAAAGCATTGTTTACTCAGTTTTAGAAAGAAACAACTATATTTTACAAGGATAACAATTTAGGTATTTAGGAAACTTTTTACCAGTTGGTCCTTGGCTATTGACCCTTAATTTACGACTACCTATCAACTGGGTTGACTGAAAAAATGAGAAAAGAGGACCTATTATAGGTCACCAATGTAAAAGCTGTCATTTTTTTAGACATTGACAAAATGTTTTTTGTCTTCTTTCAAACTATGTCTTGTTTCCCATGACAAAGATCTTTTTTTTTTCAAAGCAGGGCACACATTTGCTTATCTCTGATTATCTGAACACCTATTTTTTAATTTATGTGGCATGCTTTTGTTGTTGTTTTTGTTAAGATCCTCAGCTATATTTTTGCAACCTATTTAATTCTTGTCCATATTTGACACATTTACTGAAATCATTCATTTATTAACTATGACCAATTGATCAGATATTGATAAGGATATAACAGTTTCAAGTTAATTTTGTGAATATCAGAAACATCCATGGTGTCTCCGAATGTTATACACTGTATCAGATACAGAGTTGACAAACTGCAGAGTGGCATAAGATGTTAACTTGATCTTCGCATGTATATGTAGATTGATTTAGATAAGTATTGAATATGGTTATCCATAATAATTATTTAAGGTTTTTTGAAAATTGGAATAATTTATGTGAGCTTGCATTACCAGCCTTATTTTGAAATCTGAAATTCCTATGTTTGCAGTTTTGACATGTGGTCTATATTACATAAAAACTTTGTCCTTTTTACTGTGATATTTAATATATTATATTATGAGCTTAACATTCAAAATAGAAATCAACCGGTACATAAATAGTTTTTAACTGCTGTTTCAACAAGTTATATATTTTTAAGCAATAACTGAATTCTGTTATAGTTTTTTAATTGTGAGAAGAACCTGTTACATTCTGTCTGTCAAGTAGTGTGATTTGCTTTGAGGGAATGTTACCAGTTATGTGAAAACCTCTCAAGGGCACAACTTGGCTGTTGTGATAGTGATACAGTGTGATTCTTGAACTGGGTGTCTTAGATTTTCATTATAAGCAATTTAAGTTCAACAACTTAAAGTAGCCATTCCAGATAGAAACAATGTTGATAAATACAATAAACCATGCTTACTCTTTTCGAAACACCTCTCTATGAAAAGACCACTAATGAACAACTTTTCTCCTGATTTTGCCATTCATTGGACAAGATTTTTGATTGACAGAATTGTCTTGCTTATATAGAATTTTATTGATATTATTCAAATGTATGGCATAACAATGCTATTTTCTAAACAAGATAGCAAGATGTTTATCAAATCTGCATAAAGAATGAATTACTTGATCTGAAAATATTAAAGCAGTTGGCATGTTTTCTATCTGGTAAATCTTGGAGGAATATAAATATTTCATATGCCTTATATAATTACATATATTGTTATATGATATTGTGTAATCGCATCTGTGTGAATTCATTTTCACATCTTGGCATTATGGCTTAGCAATTGCATTAGAGTACGTAAACAAAGGCATATTGTCTTTTACAGCATTTACTAGCTAACTGCTTTTTATCCAGAAAGATTTTATAGAAGCATTATGTAATAAACGGTATATGTAGTATTGGCATGTTGATAGCAATGATATGATTCTTATAAAGAAGTGCCATATTTCCACATTTTATGCTCCATAAATTATCAGTGAATTTGAATTACATTTGCAGCTTGTTATATGCAAAGTCATATCTGTGCCTATTATTTATTTAAAAATTATTCTTGGATTCCACCATCATTGCATTGTTTATCATGATGAAACCAGTTGTTTTATGGAAGAAATTGTATAATAATGTACAGTCAAAATGTAGTATATTATAAACATATATCTTTTATATAAAACCTGCAAAAAAAAAAAACTGTTTTATTTTTTTATGGAAACAACTTTTTCCATTTACCAAACAATGGTTTTTCTCTGAACGAGGTAGAAGAATTGCAAGATTGACTATCAATCACTAATCCCCATTGACACATTCAAATCTTAAGTGATACCAAAGAGCCCTAAGTTGTTATTGAATTATAACACTGATCTATGCTTCTGTAGATGGATTGCAGAGTTATTTGGTCCAATACACAAAGGTGACGAAGTCCTGTCTAACATGGAGCCATAGAACTGTATACTGCAAAGCCCCCTCTCCCCTCCCTTACTATTAAGCCCATAATTATGAACTGTGGGACATGGAAACATTTTCAGGGCCCTAAGCCTAGACTAGAGCTATGCTTATCGCTTTTGTAAAAAATCTCGAAATAATGTTTCATGGTATCATGTATTGATACCTCATGAATTCTTAGTAACAGTAGCCTAAAGTTAGTTTTTTCCCATCCAGAAATTTTCATGTGAGAAGACCCATATTTTGGACAGAAAATAACCCTCTGCAAAATCATATTTCCAAATAATGTCTTAATGTCTTTTAATTCAATCTCTATAGAGCCTTGAACATATCTTATCTTTCAGTGACCTATATATTTATGTTTGACCAGGCAATTATCTAATTTACTTAAATAAGTATGTCATTTATCTTGACTTTTTAAGAGATATCTAAATCAAAGCATGGGTTATTTCAAGTGCTACTTAACTGTTTTGTGCACTTTCGGACTTTTAGATGGCAGCGTGGCATCTCGTGAACTAGATTTCTTTAACAATGCAACCAGTGTTTTCAGAAATGTTTTCTTTTCAACATTGAAATATTTTGGAATCCATCCTGAAATTTACATGAATGCTGTAAGTGTCTTTACTGTAACTCTTGGATAGTTTAGTACATGATTCAGAAGTTGACACTAGCAAGTGGTCCGGGTATTATGAGAAATCTTGGCTACATTGCTTGATAACATTGATATTTTTATTAGAACTCAATAAACATATTATACATAAATCACTTGGCAAATATGACATCTGGATTTTTTTGCATAGTCGTTTGTAGACCGAAACAGCTGGTGTAGCCGATAACTGTCAAAATATCTATCAGGGACTGGAATAGAGACAGATGTTTTGGACAAATTCGTTTGAGGCAACGGGTATGTGTATAAGCAACAGTCGAAATCACACATTATTAAAGGTGGGAAATAGACAAAACTCACCATTCCCTATGAAATGATTTAAGCTTCCTCAAGTGCAAAACTGATGCATGAAACGGGATGGTAAGCTAGAATGGGGAATTACTCCATTGGACGATGGGTTTTACAAAACACATATAATTCATGAGCATAAACTGCATCAGTTTCGTTTCAGGAAGAATCAATCACTAGTAAAGGCTACCCAGAGGAGAATCACCATGTTACAACTCAAGATGGGTACATTCTTACTCTTCAGAGAATACCACATGGTAGAAATCAACGTTCCTCAAACGGTAACATTGTTTCATTACCTTGGGGTGGACTGGTAGGGACAGAAGCGAAGCATCAAGGCTATTTTATACTAGAAAACCAAATAGCCACAAAAGGAGGACAAGGAATCAGTTCCTCTTTGTACCTGCACAAAAAATAAACATCTGGATCGAATTCAAAATCGAAGCCGAAGTTGTCGCCAGATTCTAGTTGTAAAATTGCTTAAGGCGACTGATAAGTAACGTTAATAGTTAACTTTCAATTAAATTCAACTTGCACGAATAGCACCAGGTTGTTCATCTGAAACATCTTAATCACGAACGTCTCAGAGCAGTTCTGGTGGTTACATTACAATTTACAGGATTAAGAGAACGTTACTCAACCCCGATATCAATCACAGGCTAAAGTTTGGGCGTAACTCTATAAAAGCTACATACATAAAAGCTATAATATACATTTTGGCTATTACAGCTCCAAGAGAAGTGGTTCTTCTTCAACATGGTCTAATGGGTGAAAGTACTAATTTCCTGGATAACTTGGCGAATGAAAGTTTAGCCTATATCCTAGCTGATTCTGGTGCTGATGTTTGGTTATCTAATAGTAGAGGTAACAGTTATTCCAGGGCCCATGTTCATCTCAAACCATCACAAGAGATATTTTGGGACTGGTCGTAAGTGTTTTTGCTTTGATGTATGAAAATTTTTGCCCTGGAATTCATTTAAGTGTCTTCAAACAAAGCTAATTTTATCTGAAGAACTCCTAATGGCTTAATCTGACAAAACTCTTATAGTACATGTAATTCTTTATTCATCATCAGCCAAACTGTTACATGTTTCGAAACAATTGCTTCCGTTTATTTTAGATTTGATGAAATGGCACAATATGATCTCCCAGCAGTAGTTGATTACATCCTAGCTGAAACAGGTGTCTCACAAATCACCTACATTGGTCATTCACAAGGAACTCTTATTGGTTTTGCTGGTTTCAGTCGAAACCAAACACTTGGATCTAAAGTAAAACTGTTTGTAGCTCTTGCCCCAGTGGCCAAGGTTGGGCATATAAGAAACTTCATGAGATTTATTGCCCCATTCGCCTACGATATAGCGGTAAGAAAATCTGGTGTCCAATTTGCTGGCACAATTACAGCTTTCCGTGGTCAGAATTGTGCTGACTTAGTCAATCTGCCGGTTGACAAGGCTATCCTTGTACCTTATACCAATGCCTTGTCCATTGCAAGTAGAATCTTAGGTTCCACTGATGGGTCAAAAAGGAAAAACTACAGTCCTCCAAGGCCATGAGAAAATCTTTTTACTTTCTCGAGAAATTGAGAGCACATGATTTATTGTCATGGCTTTTGCATTGACCAGACGACACTAAGACGACAATAAGATTTACATTTTCTTGATCATAAAACATTGTCTTAAAGCTGTATGCAGCACTCCGCTTAGTATATTTGAACGTATTGCCTCTGTAATATCTGATGGCTCAGTGAGTTAGATGCTTGTTCGCTATCCTGAAAGTCCAGGGTTCAATCCCGGCATAGATCGAGATATTACCTTTGGATTTTTCAACCCGGTTTCCCCCTGTCAGTGATGAAGGTAAGAGGGACTGACATGGAACAATAAACCGAGGCCCCGTGTGCTACAGGCTGTGCACGTTAAAGATCCCTCGACAGTTGGAAATCGAAAAAAAGCAGGCTAATGCCGCTTTCCTGGCAAAATTTTCCTCATCGCACCCTGCATGGCGTTGCCCGTCTTCATTACCCCACATGGTGCAGAAAAGAAGGACGTAAAACTCATTTCATTTCATTTTTTGTAATATCTTAAAGCAGAGTACAAAGGGAGAACATTCTTCTTATTTTTGCATTGGAGTTCTCTAATTGAGTCTCTAATTGAAGATATATTTATTATTCATCCGTATTGTAGTTTTTATATCATCTATTCGGACGAGGAGAGATCATGTCAAATAAACTAGATTTATTCCTAGCTAAAGATGTTTGTGAAAATATTGATATTTTGTGTGAAAATGTCATCTTTCTAATCGGTGGTTTCAATCCTGGCAATTTAAACAAGGTAAATGTTTGTAGATCTCCATCTATGTTTTATCACCTATATTTGTCAGTGACGATGATATTCCGGTATAAGCCAATTTACATCCTATATTTTTCAAAGGACGATCTGTTTTTAGAACATTTTGTAATTGAATTAGTGAAAATCATAGACCAAAATCTTGATAAAGTTATCTCTAAGCTTATCTAAATGTGTTAACCAAAAGTGTCTTTGCCGTTAATGTTAAGAACGCCAAAACTCTCTGAAAGATTTACTTACAACTTTTTAGAAGTTGCTATGTATTGATCAAGTTGGTCAAGGAGATACATTGAAGTCAATAGCATTTTGAAGAAAAAATTTTATGTATAAATTTATTTACGTTTTCACTGAAAATTTTGCATACGGCCCCTTTAATATTTTGGCATATATGAAACTCTTAAATTGAAAATAGAATTGTTTTCAAAAAAAGTAACAAGCTAAGTTCATAAAACATGTATGGTATTTTTCAGACACGAATTCCAGTCTATGTAGCCCACAACCCATCTGGTACCTCCGTCCGTAACTTGATTCATTATGCCCAGGTAAAAATTGTTTAGAAATATAAAAGAGTGAAATTGTCATGCACCATGATTGTAGTGTCTTTAAAATTTAAAATTCATTGTTACGTCGCTATTTTGTCGGTTAATCGTATGATGTATATAGTATATTATGTAATGTTATACCATAATAGTGCCATCAGATACTAATATTATGTACTTTCGTTGTTTTACTGTGTACATCACACCGTTGTATAATGGTTTAGCGCACCCATCGTTACTGTTTTACGGTATATCGCACCCGTCGTTGCTGTATTACGATATATCGCACCGATCGTTGCTGTACAGTTGTATAACACAACCATCGTTACCTTGTAATCGGTATTTAGTCAGTATATCGCAGCATATCACACCCATCGTGGTTGAAGAACGGTAAATCGCACCCATCGTTGTTGTATAACGGGATATCGCAACGGTATATCGCACTCATCGTTGCTGAATAACGGCATATCGCACCCATCGTTGCTGTATAAGGACTGTCGGATTTAACGTAGTTGTATGTCGACAGTATATGAACTTAACGCAGCGTGGATTAAGTTGCCAAATATTGTTTAATACAATCTTGCTGACTAACCCTATAAAATCTTTTATAACATTCTTTCAGGGAGTGAGAACAGACACTTTTCAGAAATTTGATTTTAGATCTGCAGAAGAGAATATCAGACATTATGGCCAGGTAATTTATTCACATAAAAGGGTTTAATACTCAACTAAAAATATTACTTGGTTACCTGAGATTGATTCGCAAGCTCGTAACCCTAAGTTTTACGCAATCTTTTGGTGATTTACGATTATACATTATACAGATTTAAAAAATGCTCTTCTCAGGTAATGTCGGTGACCTCCGTTAATAACTACAAAAACTTCATCATGGTTCGTAATAAGGGGCTAAAACATGATCATCATCTGACGCTTAAATCAATTTTTGAGATTTTGAACTATATTTACTTCTTTTTACATTACAGCCAACACCTCCAGTTTACCACCCCGAGGAAATGCAGACACCAGTAGCTATATTTAGAGGAAATAATGATTATTTAGCTGATCCAACTGATGTCCAATGGCTTCTACCGAAATTACAAAATGTGGTCTTTGATAAGGATATTACCGAATGGGAACATATGGATTTTGTGCTGGGAATGGACGCTCCCTATCAGTGTTATGATGATATAAAAAGACTTATATTCACAAATAATACCATTTATTGAAATAAAAAGAATATTCTATACACATACATATTTATAACATATCACGTTTAGAACCAATTTTTAAAAATTAGTACGTTGCTGTTTTAATCTTTAATACACTGCTTTATTTCATGAAATGCAAATCAAAATTTAAACAGCAACGTTTTATATACGTGTTACTTCAAGGGAGGGAATTCTCTGTCATTATATTTGACCACTGCTGCTCCTTATGAATTTTATATGAATTATAAATTTAGTCTAATTAAGTAATTATCAAAATCTGTCAAAGATTTAAAAGATGGCGACCCATAATAAGTCTTCGGAGTACTGTAATTCGAAGCATCGCACGGAGGTACTAAGAGTATCCCTCAATTTAATAGAATGACCCGTCTGCCTACCTATCCAGGTCCAACTGGCATTCCTGTCTCTCTATTCTTTTCCACGCTTACAAGCATAGAACCACCTCACCGTATCTCGTGATCGACATATAAACTGCATCTCATCTACCGTTCTACTTACTCCCTCGATCATTCTGTCTATGTCGGTGTACTTTCCATTTGTTCTTTCAACCTTCCCTTAAACCTCTCTTTTCCTTCCTCTCTTCTTTGTTGCTCTACTATATACTCATTCCTCTCTTCTTTGTCGCTCTACACTCTCTTCTTTGAGGCTCTACTATATACTCCTCCCTGTCTTCTTTGTCGTTCTACACTCTCCTTACTCTCTTCTTTGCCGCTCTACTATATTCCTTACCAGTATCACTGTTTTACTCTCTTCTTTTGTCTTGTCTTGTTCCATCCTTTCTGGCTACCTACTTGCTGTTCTCTCACATCCTGTCTTCTTTTCCTTTGGAATATCGTATGAAACACACACACTTGTGTTCAAACTAGAAGTGGGAGTTGTACAATGAATGTGTTACACCCGATTTTTACCTTGTAACATTTTGCCTTTATAGTCGCAATTGGTGTAGATGTTCTCAATAAGTAAAAAAAAAATGCTTATGTCATAAAGAATGAAATGACTAAAGGTCAAAGACGAAGATAATTCAAGATAAGAAAAATTTCTGGCATTAGCTTTGAGTCTGTATGATTTGAACTGTCCACCATGAACAGTCTACTCATCCACGTCCTGTTGGTGATTTTATGTTGCAACATCGAGCTGGTCTCTACCAGCCATAAAAAGAGATCATTTAGTCATGTAGATCCTGAAGTTTTTATGACTGCAGTAAGTATTGAAGAAATTGAAGAAAAAAATTTTTCTAGTGGTATCATAATTTTATTTAAGTTAACCGTTTTGAAGTTCCCGTTCAATAGATTCAAGATTTAATATTTTGATCTAGATATTTAGTTCACGAATATTTTACAGAAAAATTTTCACACCCATTTGAATAGATTGAATGGTTAAATAGATATTTAGATAAGATTAAAAAATTACGTGCTGGATTTCACCTCGCACTTACTGCCCTCTTAAATGTTAAGTAGCAATATTGATGATGATGATGACATGATCTCATACACAGGAACAGATGATCACCAGTAAGGGTTATCCTGAAGAAAATCACAAAGTTACAACTGAAGATGGTTTTATTCTCACACTCCAAAGAATTCCACGTGGTAGAAAAGGGATATACCGAGCAGGTAATGTTGTGTACATGTGTAATGATTTCTAGTTTTAAAAAAAAACAATAGACAACGACCTGAAGTTCAAAGCTAAAATCTCCGATGTTAGATTGGCTGTGTGAGTTGATATGCACTACAATCGGAAATATTTAGATATTATGTAAGAATAGGTACCGGTACCAAGGAAGCCACAACGGTACAAGGAAAACCTCTAGTAAAAATATAGATGAAAAGTCCTATAGCATTCGGCAATCCTCGGCAGTTTCCGTAAAGCTGAATGTTGCAGAGCACTAGCTCTATCAATTTTGATACTTTTTTTTCCCGGCTCCTCTTCAAAGAAAATGAGTCAGGGTCCAACCATGTGTTTACCTAATTCTTCATCCATTTTCTCACTTTGCATTTTCGCTCCCACTTACCTTTCAACTTTGATTTTGGTAGGAGAGAAAAAAGAAGTGGTTCTTCTTCAACATGGACTTCTTGGAGAAAGTACCAACTTTCTTGATGATTTGGCAAATGAGAGTTTAGCCTATATCCTAGCTGATTCTGGTGCAGATGTTTGGTTAGCTAATAGTAGAGGTAACAGTTATTCCAGGGCCCATGTTCATCTCAAACCATCACAAGAGATATTTTGGAACTGGTCGTAAGTTTTTTTGCTTTGAATTTATTGCAACAATCTGAGCTCTAATATATCACCAACGATAAGTGTCTATTTTTAGACTTTTCAACTCCTGATTGGAACAATAAGGAAGACGGTAAAAACTGTGTGCAATGGGGGAGGATTTGTCAAGGCAGATGCATTAGACCCCCGGTTAACTGCCGAGAATCTTGATCTTGCAGACCCATCCGAACGGTGTGACAGTGTACGTTCCTTAATTGTTTAACTACCACTTACACTTTTCCGTCTTCAGATCAGATGAAATGGCGCAGTATGATTTACCTGCTATGGTAGATTATATCACGACTAAAACTGGTGTTAGTAAAATCACCTACATTGGTCATTCTCAGGGAACTTTGATTGGATTCGGTGGTTTCAGTCAAAATAAGACACTTGCCTCTAAAGTGAAGCTGTTTATTGCACTTGCGCCGATTGCTAGACTTGGTCACATAAAAGGACCATTACACCTTATTTCACCATTGACCAAGGATTTACAGGTATGAATTTTACTATTGCCCACCATGTTCCAATTATGTGAACATTTCATGTTATTACCGTTTCGTCATCGAGCTTGGTTTATATGGTTCTTTCTCTTTGAGGGAGTCCAATGCTATACTTTTATATACACTTGATTTTGCCATACTTTGGATTAGAATTGTCTTGTTTGTATACGGATTTTTATTACTCATGAATTGTCAAAGGATGCTTGTTGCTTATTTTATTTTTTGCTGCCTTTTATGACCTCTAAAATTTATGTAGATGAGCCTCACGACTTCACATGCCAACAAAATTCGCTGTTCCTCTGGAATATCATGTTACGTCTCATGATTTAAAAATTCCATGAAACGCAAAAATGACATAACTTTAAAACTGTAAGTTTCCTTTCTTCAAATTGCAGAAGCTGGAGCAAATGCTTGGTAAAGGAGAATTTATGCCCCATTCTAAATTTGATGTGTTTTTAGCTAAAGATGTATGTCATCCGTTTGGCAGATTGTGTGATACCGGATTCTTCCTTACAGGAGGGTTTGACCTTGGTAATCTAAATAAGGTAAGGGTAGAAGACTGAAGAAGGCTTGTTTCTGATGAAGCTAATCGCTCTTTAACATATACATAATGCATAGTGATAGGGAGTTGGAGATGACACACGTACACTTTGGTAAGAATTTACTGTGTCATCACTATTCATCTTATATCGCAGGCAATATAGTTTGTATCATTTTTTTCCACAATACATTTTCCATAATGACAGAAACGAGGATGATCAAAAAACATAATATATAATGTTATATATCGCTCTTTAACATATACATAATGCATAGTGATAGGGAGTTGGAGATGACACACGTACACTTTGGTAAGAATTTACTGTGTCATCACTATTCATCTTATATCGCAGGCAATATAGTTTGTATCATTTTTTTTCCACAATACATTTTCCATAATGACAGAAACGAGGCTGATCAAAAAACATAATATATAATGTTATTATGCTATATTTAAATTTTAGTCCAGAACTCCAGTGTACATTGCTCACAACCCGTCAGGAACTTCTGTTAGAAACTTTATTCATTATGGGCAGGTAAGTACTGGTTGCGTAGCTTTTATTTTCCTTTTTTTATATCATTCGAAATATGATTACACTTGAAGAGATTGTAAAGAATTTTTTTTTTTGTACAAAATTGTATGTGTATCACTTTCAATTTCAAACGTCTGTGATTCCTTAAATCCCACTAAAATAAAGTGTTTCATGACATCACTAATCTAATACCTGTATCACATAAGGACCTGTGCGATTAATTATGATCATTTTGATCAGATATATATTGTAATTTATTACAGGCAGTAAGAAGTAACAGATTTCAGAAATTTAACTTTTCTACTCCAGAAATAAATATTAAACATTATGGACAGGTAATATGTGAAGTTTCTTTAATTTCGGCAGTGGAATGACTTTTAACACCTCAGAAAGTATAGAAACGTGTAACTTACATAGAGCATTTGACACTATATAATAATATATAATACTTTGTGTATGCCAAAGAAGGCCTAATCTGAAACCGCAAACCCGTAATATGTAAAGTTGGGTGTGCTTACACTTCTATCCATCTGATACCACTTTCCATTATAAAATACTTACTCACGTATGATTAATATAGTTCCTCATGTGAAAAGATTATTGGCTGTTACAAATGTTTCGCCAATATGTTTGGATTTCGGATTTTGTGTTTTGGTTCGGATCGTTAGTACCGTACTTGGTTTATTTCTGAAGGATCTCGGTAGATTATGTAAAGATTTGATTTATTAGAAGTTTAATGTGGAACTGGATTTGAACCATGCAGATGGTAACTTTAAAATACCTTTCTATCCACAGCCAACACCACCCATTTATCATCCAGAAGATATAGAAACACCTATAGCTGTATTTCATGGTGGGCATGATTGGTTATCAGATGCTATAGATGTACAGTGGTTGCTACCAAAACTAAAGCACCTGGTATATGAAAAGCTGATTTCACATTGGATGCATGTTGATTTTATATACGGTGTTGATGCTCCTAAACAATGTTATAAACCTATTGTACAACTAATATTTAACTCTACTGTAACAGAATAAAGCAATCATGCGAATGAATGTTATGTATGACAATATCTGTAATATAAGCTGTGTGCACAGAAAAGAAATGAAATGCGGTTAAGCATTATATAGAGTTATATAATAAGAACTCTATGTAACTCTATGGCATTAGCCTGCTAGAACGGACTAGAACTCAAACTGTGTGCAATGCCTGAATAGCGGCATTAGCTTACTCTTTTTCAATTTCCAACAGTCAAGGAATTTTGGCTGTAACTATAGTCTTTTTTTGCATGAGGAATATCCTCCCAAACAGTCCGAGGCCTACAGAAACATTTACCTTAATTATCAATGCAAATAAGCGAGTCATTTTTCTCATGTGCCTATATGTAGTTATGGCACTGGGGGTCTTTGACGTGCAGTTTGTAGAACATGAGGTCTCAGTTTGGTGTGTACAAAAAAAGACCCGTTTTACAATGTAGGTCATATCTGAAATCATATCACTACAATCCTCATTGTTGGAGAAATCTTAAATGATTTCAAATGTCTTGGATTTGTTGTTTTTGTCAAATATATCGTGATGTCGACCATGAAACTTTTAACTGTGACATTGTGTTAGTAGTCAACAACTTACTAGCCAAAAAAATCCTTATATGAAAGGAGATATATAATATTTATGATCAGTTGCCTCCCTTGAAATAGTTTTTAAGTGCGATAAAATCAGGTTTCACTTAAGCCTACTCAACATTCGACTACCAATCAACAAGAAATACCATGATCAGAACGAGTTTGGAAGAATGAAGGAGATCGAGTAACTCACGCCACACCATCCAGGGCCGAGTTTCACCGCCATGTCATTCGACCAGACCAGATCTAACGAAGAATCAACAACCAAACCAACAACACCGAATCATCCAATTTGATCCAATACAACTACCAACTACTACGACTACCAACAACTACCTAGTTTGCGATATCAGCATCCGCTGGAAGCGAACATTAACTTGTCATCTACCTACCTACCTAAGCCTACTCAATCTACTTCATTATCAGATGGAAGTTCTTATAATTGTTAGTTTTTTTTCCAAAATAAAAAACAAAACAAAAAATCAATAAATAAAACGTTGCAATCATAATATCAGGTGTTCTGAGACTGGTCAAGGTCAAAGAGTTCTAATTCGAAATCGTTAGATTACTAGTAGATTTAAATGAATTTTTAAACAAAATGGCCATTATAGTGATTTAGTCTCTCCGTAATAATTATAGGTCTACAATCTTCTACAATCAATGCTTGAAATGATACCACGCCATCAAAATTTGGAATCTTTCAGAATTGGGTCTATAAACATTAGAGTTACACTCATGTCATAAATTATATTTAAATAATATGTGCCACGTGGTCAAGTTTGTTAAGCGCTAGTTGGTCAAAATGTGGGTTGACTTGACCCAAAAAGGTCGATATTGTGTCAACAATACAGTATACAGGTCGAAAAGGCCATTGTGGCGGTATCCATAAAACTTGTATTTTGCATCATCTTATATTTACACAGAACACATTTTACTGCATTATTCTGCTGTGAAAGAATAAATTTTTAATTCGTGGACACGTTTGCAGTAAGTTAAACTTTTACATTCTTAAAAATTTGGCAGCAGCGATTTTCGTCCAATGAAACGCCTTTGTACATTATATGCCGACATGTTGATTACTTCGCGGAATCGTTTCGAGAGATTATTATGGGATGATAATGGTGGGCGCGTGATTTTGAACAAAATCTAAAATGCCATCAAAAGGATCAGGTTCGTGTTATAGGAAGTAAATGGATCCCAAATCAAACTAAACCTACACAATTACTGATTTTGTTCCCGTTAGTGACAGGTGCATCCACACCGGTGTGAATGATCAAATAAGTACCTTCCCTGTGACCCTATCGAATGCAAAACATTGAACAGGATCTGGCAAACAAGTAAATAAACACACTGCCCTGGCATTAGCAACTTATTTAAATTGTGGGCCTTTGGGAGTTAAAACACTTTATATACATACGCATATTCAAGTAAGGTTTTCAGTCAATTCATGTGATAAATATATGGAAATTCTGTTAGCTAGTCTTGTGTAGGCTTATCTTTTTTTAAGTTTTTACATAATATAAGCTTATTCACTTATTGATATTCAGTCAGTCAGTCAATCTTTTTTTGCAATTTACTTGTAAAAGGATGACAATGCACACTGAGTCTGATGTTACACAGAGGTATTCATTTGCTTTTGAATTAATTGCCAGCCGCACAGGGTCAAGGGATGTGTTGACACTAGTCTAGTGACTAGACACCCCTTGACCTTCTGTTTTCACATAAAATGTCTCTGGAGTCAGGTCAGTGGCAGGCTGGTTCTTGTTGTTTCCTGAAAGACATGACAACATTCCATTGTCAGCTTCCATCTTTAGTGACTTGAGTGTGCTAAAATGTCTATAATGGAAATGGACTATATCAAACTATTATGGTAATGAAATAAGGATTTACTGAACTTTTTTGTATTGTGGGTACTCTTTTTTTTAGATACATCCAAAGAAGAAAATGGTAATGAAACCTCATCAAGTTCTGAGATTACTGATACTGGTACACCAACAGATGTAAAACCAGTTCCATCAACTAATACTGGTAGTGCTACTATAAGTTTAATAGATAAAACCTTATCACCAGTCATTAGTAGTGTAAAACCAATGACTACTCCAATCATTGTGGATGCTTCTTCAGCATCATCATTAATAGCAAGTACAGGACAGATCTCTAAACAGTCAGATGTGCCAACCAATGCCACAGTTGATGGTAAAAGTGTATTAAAAAGACAAATCTCACCGACAGGACAAACGAATCCATGTGTGGCTAAAGTTATAATAACAAAACACCCATCAACTAGTCAACCACAGGCAGTTCCTGTACAATTTCAAAGTGGACAAAAAATTCTTACAACATTACAAAGTGGTATTAGTATGGCTACATCGCCACAATCTTCACTCACTAGAGCTAGTAGTATTAGTAGTCCTACAAAAACTGTTACTCTTACTCCTCAAGGGTTATTAACTTCTGGTGGTAAAGCTGTTTGTGCTTTTCCATCTACCCCTACTAAAATTGTGCCAATTAATAAAATTCCTATCTCACCTGCAAAGACTCCAACAAAAGTAACAATGATTCCAGTGTCGGGGAAGTCACCACAACGATTCCCTCCCACGTCTAATATAATATCTGTGAATAATAATAATAAATCTTCAGTTATTACAATGTCACCTTCTAAAGTTATCATTAAACAGGCTACTGGGGTAAGTCGTTTATTTAACTTTCTAAACTAGTAAGTGGAACCAATATAAAAGAGTTGAATGTCCTACAATTCTGCCTTTAATTGTCTAATTGAGCTTATGCAGATCGGTTAATGGTAATTGACTATTGTCCACTGATATTACATAGACAAATTTGCTGCTGACTTTCCCTTTTTCGTTTCCAATTCAAAGGAATGAGAAGAAGTATGCAGTGTCAGTTGCAAACGATTCGATCTTTTTTATTTCCTTCTTTCTCAATGTACGACAGATATTTTATACAGAGAGGGAAGAACTAATCTTGCACCGGTACTTCTTTAGTTTGCTGTTTTTGAAATAAATCACTCTAGTATCTATGAGATAATGCATAATTTTATTCTTCATTTTAGAATAAAGTCATATCAACTCACAGTGCTGGTTATGTGAAAACAGTGACTAATATTGCCCCTAATACATCAACTCCACAATCTATACGACCTGTAACAATTAGTAATTCTAATCTACAACAGATACAAGTACCGGGTAGTAGATTTACTTATGTTAGACTAGTATCACCATCACCTGGTTCAGGTAGGTTACATTACAAATTCCAATCATAGATTCAACTTCAAAAAGATTGTTCTAGTTCTGTTGCATCTATACTTAAAGCAATAAATATCACATCACAATATCATTATCCTTAAAGAGATTGTAAAAATTGTAAAGAAGTTTTTCTTAATCGGAGACACTGATAGCATCAATTTGCACCACTACAATTTTCAATCAGAAGTTTTTGGTTCCTGCAATTCATTAAAACTAAGTGTTTGATGACATCACTAATTGCGGAGGACCTTATGTGATAAACAGTTAGTAGTTTTAGTTTAGTGACCTCTTCAAACAATTATTTTTTTGTGGAATTGCAAGAACCACAGACATCAAATTGATGCTATCAGTGTTGTGGTTTATTTTCTTAGAGAACCTTTTTAAAATACCTTGAATATTAAAACTGATTGAGAAAAAACCGTTGTAAACAAAGTAAATTTCAGTCGGGACAAATATGGATCTTTTAGGATTGATACAGATATTGTATTGGATATGCATTTCTTTAAAGTATATATTGATGGATAAGAGCTAATATAATCTCAGGATTACATCCATTTAAATTAATTGATCAAGAAAAGAGAAGTTATTTATGTAATGTGTTTGATGATTTCAGGAAATAAAGCAACAACACCAACAGGTCAGACTACTATAAGATCAATAGCACCAGCTAATGTACAAAATGCACAAACTACTAAAATAGCTGTCCCTGTTCAGAGTGCACAATTGGTGAGAATTGATACCCTTGTTCAATATCTAGTTATTTGAATGGAAAATTTTCACTGCCAAGCCTAATTTTCATGACAAAGTAGAGTATTTGATTGATCCTCAAGCAGTAAGGAGGTTGTCTCATTTTTAAAAGCATGTAGTGCTTGAAAAGTCACAAGTAAAAAATACAAGTGAAAAGTAACACTATGTTCAAAAATGAGTAAGCTTAATCATGAAAAATCATAGGCTTAAAACTTTTCATTAGATGCTGGTACAATACATAAATTTATTTGAATTGATCAAATTGAAATAAAACTCCTTTCTTTTTTTAGTTAAATACAATTATCTTCTAAAAGTGCACATGCCTTCTATTTCCCCTTTCTATAGTGTGTACATTGCCTGATAAGGATGTCCTTATGTCCAAGTAATAAAGTTATGTTTTATTTTTTTGTTTAGCTAAGTAATAAACCAGGGGTTACTCTAACCAATAACACAGCTAATGTACAAAGAATATTATTACCAGCCCCTAACCAAGTGAGAAATACAACAACAACTACCAATATTAGTCAGATACGTCCAGTACAAACTAGTACTAATCAGTCTTTATCACAAATACTACCTGGTACTACTCTCTTACAGTCAACACCTAATACCAATATACAAGGTTTACAAGGCTATGCATTAGTACCAGCTAATTTTGTTACCCAGGTATACAATATTTGCTTATTTTGTGGAATAAATTCTTTTAATACTAACATAGTGCTTAATACATCAATTGTAGAGTTGTTAAAGTTGCTGTAACATCAACATTGTGGGTTTGTTTAAATATTTCTATGTTTACTATTCTACCAAAGGTGTTATAGCTAGTATTGTTCAGTGTAAAGTGGTCACATTTTCATCTGATGGCATTGTATATGCATAGTCTAGGCTAAGTTGCCAAAATGTTAAATGATAAAGTTTTGTTGCAGAAAGTTTAATTTGTTGGTTTGTGTAGGTGATATCCTTAATGAGGAAACATGATTGTTATTTTGTATATATTTATAGTTACAACAGAAACAACAGATAAAACCTATCCAAACAACAACTACAACAACTACTCAACAACAACAACAACAGCAACAACAACAAGCTCGATCTCAATCTGACTTCATCAATATAGCTAGTAGTGATCCTAATATTACAGCTAATACTTTAGCTAGAAATACAGCTAATCTTAATGGGTAAATTGCTTCTTCTATTTCCGAGCAGAGCTAGTGTTACTGTCAATCCCTCAGACAAATTCATAATACACATTTGCTCTCTCTTTGAAAATAAAATCCATTGTTCAGCAACATTCGCATGTGTCCTGCTTACATCACAGACTCTATAAGCCCAAAAGAAACAAAAGAGAGGTGTAAGGTCTTGACTTCCAAGTCACTTAACTCATTACTTGAGTAATGATTTCTTCTTTCAGTGGAACTATAGAAGCCACTGGTGCTAGACCAAGAAAACCATGCAATTGTACAAAATCCCAATGTTTAAAATTGTAAGTATTATAACGTTTTTTTTTTTATAATTATTCCCTGGCAGTGATGCACCTCAGAAGGACTGACTTGGAAAAATTTTCTATTTGTTTGTTTGGCAGAATAGATCGAGTTCCTGGCATTGCAAGCTGTGCACATTAAAGTTGGAAATTGACAAAGATGCTGAACAGCATGACGTGAAATCCCATTTTCATTTAATGATAACATTTTGCTTAAAAGCTTTCTTCGATTATGATATGAGAGTAAACATGTTTTTGTTTTATTATAGGTATTGTGATTGTTTTGCCAATGGTGAATTCTGTCACAACTGTAATTGTTTAAATTGTGCCAATAATTTAGAACACGAGGAAGAGAGATCTCGAGCTATTAAATCATGTTTAGATCGGAACCCCATGGCTTTTCATCCTAAAATAGGTAATGTTTCATTTCCATTAGGTAATGATATTAAGGGGAGACAGCATAGTCCTAGATTTATGGATTACATGTGGTTTTCTATTGTGATTTTATCATTGGTGATCTTGTAAACTGACTAAAGTTAGTTTCCAAAACTAGTTGACATGTATTCAGCTGTCAGTTTGAATAGCAACAGGCAGAATCTTACTCATAAAGAATTGTATTTTAACAGGTAAAGGAAAACATGGTGTAAAAGATAGAAGACATAATAAAGGTTGTAATTGTAAAAGATCTGGTTGCCTTAAGAATTATTGTGAATGTTATGAGGTAGGTTTATATCAAAACTCTGGACAAGTGTTTCCAAGGTTCATTTATCTTTTTTACATAATTTGACTGCAAAGATTATACTGTTAAATTTGTTTCCTCTAAAACATTACACTTTACTGTTGGATTGAGGGGTTGAATGTTGACAATTGGCAATTGCATCCAGAAAAAACAAATAAGCAGTATTCTCACAAGGGATATAAATATCTGCTTTATTTAATTACAGTTTTCAGATGTCATATTTGATTTTGAAAAGAGTTGCAGACAGCTGAAATTGAGCTGTATCATCAGATAAGGCTAATATTTAGACTTTATTATGATTTTGTTTCCTAGCATAAGAAAGAACATTGAATGATATGGTCAACAGAACATCCTTAATATCATTCTGACAATTTGTGTTTCAGTGTATACAAAATCATATTTTCTATGGCATCCATGTGAATATCCTGCTTTTAATTTTTCAGGCTAAAATTATGTGCTCAAGCTCTTGTAAATGTATTGGTTGTAAAAATTTTGAAGAAAGTCCTGAAAGGAAGACGTTGATGCATCTTGCTGATGCTGCTGAAGTTAGAGTTCAACAACAAACAGCTGTCAAGTCTAAATTCTCATCTCAGTTATCTGGTCTACCTACTAAACCTACACCTTCATCTAATGGTGAAAAGTAAGTACCTTTAGTATACTCACTTCTCTATGGGTTATTAGTGTTCATAGTTCATACTTATTTGAATGTCTTCTAATGATTGTCTGTTCAATGATCTTTTAAGTAAAAATCTGTATCAGATAAAAACTTAATAGCCTATTTGGACCATGATCTTTGATCATAATTTTGTGCCTCAGTGAGTTAGATGCTTGCTTCAGGATTCAACTAGGATTCAATAGCAGTAATAGGTAAAAATGATACCTTTACAGTCTTAACATGACTTCATTTCAATAAAACAAATTGTGGTTGTGGGTTCTTATCTTGTTCAGCAAGGGAATAAATATATTGCTTCTTCAATGCCAAACATTCAGAATGACAATAATATTTTTTCTAGACTACCATACACATTAATAACAGCAGAAGTAGCAGAAGCAACCTGTGCCTGTTTATTAGCTCAAGCTGATGAAGGGGAGAGATTACAAATGCCACCAGTTGTTCAAGAAAGAATGGTTATTGAGGAATTTGGTCGATGTTTAATGCAAATTATAGAATCTGCTAATAAAACTAAAGGTAATATTGATTGGAATACAAGTTATGTGTATTAGAAATGATTAAACAGAAATACTGGTAGTTTTAATATTTTTCACCAGGTGAAATCAGTTTTGTCTAGTCATGTATTAAAGTTTCTAGGCCATTATTAATGATATTACCAATATTACAGCTGTTGAATTATTATTCTAAAAATTGCTACAGATATCTAAAATTAATCCCAATTGCTGGTAATGCAGAAATTTAGATGCGTTAATTCTTTATTTGAAGCCTTGACAGCAAACATTTAGTTCTTTCAATTTAAAAATAAAATAGATGGGTGTTTAGTATATTGAAGGTTTATGTTTATTTTAGATGGAACGTGAGGGTATAGATGTTATAGATTGTTTTATATTATATATAGTAGAGAATATTTAATATATATCAAACCATTGTACTTTCACCATTAATTTATTACCTTCATCATCTTAATAATAGGTAAGTAGATATCTTTATATATTCATTCCATTTGACGATCTAAACAATGGTTTTATGTACTCATAACAAGAGATTTAAATACATATCTAGATGATTTTTTTTTTCTGAGCTGATGTATTGTGAAGTTCATTTGCAAATAACTTTTTCAAATGGGTCCCATAGTATTTTTTTACACATTGTTTTGCATGTGGTATACAAATTGGTTTGGAGCATGTAGTTATAATAGTATCCATTAGAAATCAGAAATGTGGGTGTTGAGGAAAATTTTGCCTGTCTGAATTAGCCCAATCTGGAACATATTAGGATATTCCCATGTTTCATTTCATTTTCATATTTTTTTCAGATATTTATTGCATAATGTTCTCATGGTAACTATAGAATGCTATTTTGTTATTAGAATATTATTTATCATATTTTCAACAATAGAAATATAGAATATTTATAATGAAGAATAAACAAGCTCTTATTTGATAGTTTTATCCTCATAAATTTCTGTTTATTTTCAATACAGTATGTTTTTTTTGTCAAAGGGAAAGTAAACATTGCTTATTTTAAATAATAAACTGAATATCGGACATTTTTGATTGCTGCTGTATGGCAAGTTATGACAATGTTTGTAAAGGGATTGCAGAGAGGTTTTCCAGCTGGATCGCAGAAATGTTTTCCAGCATTTTTTTTTTATATAGTTTCTGTTTAACTCTACATGATGTCACTATTGATAAAGCTGTATATAATATCTAAGGGCCTTTGTAATAGCTAAGTAATAAAATGCTTAGTGGAATTGCAAGAACAATATTAACAGAGACTGTTAATTGGAATAGTGAAAATACACATAAAAAGTATAGAAGACCTCTTTACAATCCCAATATCTTGAAAACCTGTACAGATCTAACTTATAAATTAGAATTTTTACTTCATAAGTCATGAAATCATAATATTGTACATTGACCAGAGACATTTAAACTTTAAATAATCTCATTTCTTTTATTATTAATTCATTTGTTATGATTGTAATTATTGTAATATAGATTATTGAAAAACTTGTTATCTTTTGTTATTTTGTTTTGTTTGATTATGGAATGTTCAGCTTATCAACTCTGATTTATATCTGGTTAGTTGCTATTGTAAGGTTTTTTTTTTGTATTTGTATAGTTAAGCAAAGATATCTGTATACATCCGAGGATGATATAAAAACATCAACATGAACAATTTTCTTAATTAATAGGTAGTTATAGCAATGAAGAGGTTTTCGAGCCTTTTCCTTCTAGGGGCATTTATAGCTTCTATTTGCATTATTCCAATTTTTGGTCAGATGTCTGGTTACTGTGCAGAACTCCTTTCAATCTCCGAAAAGTTGTTAATGATAGCTACAATATTGTGATAGCTGAGCAATAAAATGCTGTTTTAGTAGAAATGCTTCAAGATTTACAGCTGTCTGACTGAAATTTGGAATGGTGCAAATTGATGCTGTCAGGATTCCCATTACACATACACAATACACATAAGTTTAAAAAAAACTTTTAAATTCCTGTAAATTTGCAATATTGAAATTTCAAAGGTCGCTCATGTTGTATTTCTGACTACAGCACCTGAAAATGAATTTAGAAATATTACAACAAAATCTAAAAAAAACATGTTGATCGCATAGCATGAAACTCTTAGTAACAACATATTTTGTTTAGGTTCAATTTAATATTTCTATTTCGTTCTACAATTGATGTATCGAGCACTATTTTAACAGTGGTATTTCTATATCGCTCTACAATTGATGTATTGATCACTATTTTAACAGTGGTATTTCTATATTGTTCTACAATTGATGTATCGAGCACTATTTTAACAGTGGTATTTCTATATCACTCTACAATTGATGTATCGAGCACTATTTTAACAGTGGTATTTCTATATCACTCTACAATTGATGTATCGAGCACTACTTTAACAGTGTATTTCTATATCACTCTACAATTGATGTATCGAGCACTACTTTAACAGTGTATTTCTATATCGCTCTACTATTGATGTATTGATCACTATTTTAACAGTGGTATTTCTATATTGCTCTACAATTGATGTATTGAGCACTATTTTAACAGTGGTATTTCTATATCACTCTACAATTGATGTATCGAGCACTATTTTAACAGTGGTATTTCTATATCGCTCTACAATTGATGTATCGAGCACTATTTTAACAGTGTATTTCTATATCACTCTACAATTGATGTATTGATCACTATTTTAACAGTGTATTTCTATATCACTCTACAATTGATGTATTGATCACTATTTTAACAGTGTATTTCTATATCGCTCTACAATTGATGTATCGAGCACTATTTTAACAGTGGTATTTCTATATCGCTCTACAATTGATGTATCGAGCACTATTTTAACAGTGTATTTCTATATCGCTCTACAATTGATGTATCGAGCACTACTTTAAAAGTGAAATATTTTATTATTGTAAAAATGAATAAAATTATTTGTTTCTTTGTTTTAAATTGTCCCTATGTGTTCAGATATCTTTGTTAAGCTATACAGGAAATAATGGCAAAAGTAGATAATAGATACTCCTTTTATTCATAGAAGCATATGGCCAGAAAAATGTTCAACATTATTTGCTGCTAATTTGATGTTAAATTAAAGAAAAGCTTGCTTTTTGAATTTGATTAACAGCATGTAAAAAAATAATTGTTGAATCTTTGTTAATTATTTGCAGATTTGAATTTATTTTTATTTTGTTAGCTACTACAGTGTAAAACCTAATTCATTTTATTAATTCACTTGTCTGAAACTGAATTTAAGTGCAATATTTGTAAATATCAGAATATTTTTAAAAGAGAATGTAAATAAATCCAGTTTCTTTAACTTTTTGTCTTGTGGATCTCCCTGACCCAATTTTGAACAGATAAGTTCCACGAACTTCTAAAGTTTTTTGGATAGGAAACCTGTTGCGGATTTTGCACTCTTACAGGCAGACTAGTTTAAAATACCCAACCCTGGATCTGGAGATAAACAATTAAGCACTTTACTCATTTGAGTTACTGTGACATACATCAATCCAGGCTAGTTGATCTTATTGCAGCATTATGACTGCTTTACAAAGTGATCCTTGAGTTGTGGATCTGTTGAATCCCAATGAAACATTTCACAAAATGACCTTGGTCGAATACCAGTATAGGTCGCTTCATTCACTTCATTCTACAATATGACCTTGGCTTAGTGACCTTGAATTATTGAACTACTGGAATATTGTAACCTTCATTCATAATTTATCCCTACCTATATGGAATCATTTTATTTAGACAAAATACCTTCTTTGCGATATTACCTTTGTTGGACGACCTCATTTGTTTTTATCTACAGCATGACCTTGGATTATGTAACCACTGCATCCAGGTTGGCGTAATAACATCTGTAATTTATCTATGGATCCATTTTACCACCAAAATAACCTTTGTTAATTACCAGGAATTCCCACTTATCCCCCAAAAACTGCAATGGTGCCAATAGCTAGTTTTCTGACCATTTTACAATTCGACCTTAAAATACTACGTAAATATTCAGTCCCGGTCAGTGTCATTGTCACAAACAAAATAAATTTGATTCGTTCATCTGATTTAGTTTATCTTTATATGATAACCTGACCATGACAGCAACATCTGTGTCCATTAAATGTCCTTCAAATCACAATATGACCTTGAATTGACGAACCCATTGAATTGCGATGAATTTCAAAATGAGCTTGGTTAATTATACTATGATTTGTGAACGTTTTTTTTCAATTGAAATTTAAAAAAAAAATTCACCATGGTCAGTGACATTTGACCATCAAAATAATATTGGTCCATCTATCAACCAGGCTGGTTTGCCCGAAATTTTCAAAATGACCTTGGTCAACGAATCTGATTTGTATCCATGTCTATTGTTCTCCCATTCACAATAATATTACCTGTAACTTATCGAGGAATTTCATTCCAATAAGTGGCTGGGACAAACGACCTTGCTTTATCAAGCTCATTAAGTGGGCCTATAATATGACCTTCAAATATGCAACAGCTGTATCCATAAAGTTGTCTTTTAAATCACAACACGAATAATAAATTATAGAGCCAATTTATACCAGTAATTATTGGCACTTGGGTTTACTAGAAAAAATTACACCAATCAATCAACCATATTCGTGACTATTTTTTACAACACGACCTTGGATTATGTAATTTCTGTACGTGAACTTCATTGTGACTTTCAGATTCAGAATTCATTTTGTAGTTGCAGCAATGCATCTTGGATTAAGCCTAAGAAATTATCATTCTCGTGGGTATGCCTAAAGCCTACTGAAGATGATTAAAAGAGTCTAGACTATGCCAATAACTATGCATCTTCTGAACATTTGGTTGAATTTTTCAGCCTCTTGTCTGTATACAGATTTCAATTGAGCCTACAAATTGTATAGTAATTGTAAGCTTGAAGGTACAATTGTTCGTGTTCATTAAGAAAAAAACCTCTCTGAAATATTAACGAAAGGTCAAGTGGTTAAGTTATACTTGGTCAAAACGATACTCAATGAACATTT